AAAAAAAAAGTTTCACTAAGGATACTCTAGGTACAGGAACCATTCCAAGACCTAAATAGATTTTTTTTTTTTCTTACTGATAGCCGATCACATTAAACAGGGACAGGTGCTAAGAAAGTTCAAGACTGATCTTTTGGCAATGACAGTTTAGGTTAAGTCTGTTTGGAATTCCTAATAAAAAGAAATCCCTTTTAAAAAAAGGTTGACAAACTGTCCACTTGGCCTTGAATTGACTGTTAGGGTCACACCTGCCAATGCCAGGGGACATCACAAAAAAAATAGAGAACGGCAAGATAAAAAGTTCATTGCATTCAATTTGGCCTAACTTCTTGATAATAGTTTCCTATTAGATTTTCCGATTAATACTGATGGCTCTTACCTAGGCTGTGATAATTAGGTTTTGATCGATTGTGACATTAATGATCACAATCAGTTGACTTTGAAATTGTCTTAATTAATGGCTCTTTCCTTGTCAGCTTTTGCCTCCAGTGCAGGATTCATCCCTTCCCCCACTGCCTTGTTTTAACTCCTTCTCTTACTGACCACAGAGACAAATAGCATTGGAGGATCACTTTCTTCCCATAACACAAGACTTTAAACTATTTTAAAACATTTCTCTGACAGAGGAGCGATATGAGATGATATAAGATGAAATGAGGATCAGAATAAAAAGGCAAGAGAACGAGCTGTCAATGAACAGGAAAAATTCCATCTTAGAAAACAACCAAAGTCAAGCACAATGTTAAAGTCACAGGTGAGGAATTCTAAAAAGACAGGATGAGGTAGCTTAAAATCCAAGAAATTCAGCACAAGCAAAAATAAACCAGAACTGTTTTCATGAAACTATCTAAAAAACCTCATGCTTTAGCTTTCCAGAACCGTTACTCTAATTCCTGGGAAATCTGACTTCCAAAGTTAGTCAACTTTCAATTATCCAGGCAGAACTCAGTATCTTTTTCTTGTGGTCACATGGGTCAGAATCAAGAACATACTTATGATCAGACCATTTCTTAACCTAGGTAAGCTTTAATAATTAAATCTGAGATTCAGATTTAATACACAAGGTACATGTATTTCTGGGAGAAGTTTCCACATAAGTGACACAATTCTCTGCTTAGAAATCATCCTCTCTTGCAGTATTGAGTAAAACTGCACTGCTCTGAGTAGATGCTCAGGTATTCACAGATGTGCTCCAAACCTTCTTTTTAGCAAATCTCTTGTCATTGGAAAGCATGTCCCTGGTTTTAGGCTTAAAGGCAGCCTCATGTTCATTCCTCCAAAATGAGAAATTGAAAAAGGTTAAGCAACTCTGATAAAACGTCCATGAGGAATATGTTGTTATAGAACCCACAATAATGTAACACAACTGAATCTGCGATATAGCTAATGCTTTCCACAAGCTAAGATTAACTCTACCACTACTTTGGCCAAGAGTCTAAACCAGGGATGAAAATCAGTTCTCAATCCCAACTCACCTGTTTTTTCTCTATCAGTAATAACACTATTTCCAACCCCCAGCTATATTTATTTCCTGGAGTAAAACAAGCCCTTGTGTTCTATGGCCAGCTGGCTCACTTCACCCAAGGTTATAGGTCTTTTCCACATAAAAACCAAAATTAATGTCAACTTCTTTCTCTAGGGCTACAAACTATACATCAGCCAGTCTGTCTCTGCCCTCAAGTCAGAAATGTGTATTGATTTGTAGCTTTTATTAAGCCAAGCTATTTTTTTAAACAGAAACACAGCTTGTAAGCACTTAACCATTAATGGTCAGTTCATCACACACCAGTACCAAAGTTGAGGGCAGGGATGGCCTCTTTTTGAACTTTGTATCCTCAGGCCAAAAAATGTCTGTTGAATAAAACCAACATTGATGTACAGCAATGTGGCTGAAATTTAGAAAGCTTAATAAAAATTGGGTGAGAGGGGCATCTAATTCAGAGCATGTTTTTGGGTGTAAGGCTAGTAACACCTATTTTTGAAAACATAATTTTTATTAGTAGGTAAAGGTAGCATGAAACTATGATATACTGGCTCCAGACCTGTTCTCACTCTGCCTTGCCACAGGCATGCTTGGTGGTCTGATTATAAAAGCATAGATCTCAACCAAAAGGATGGGTTAAAGGATTAGGTGCAAAGTGAGTTTTCCCTTTATGAGGAAATGAGGAAACTGTGAGACATTATTTCCTCATTTTAAATCTAATGGGGTTCTCATGACATTGCAGAGTAGCATTTTATGCCCTCAAAATTGAACCTTTAAGGTACAGACAATTGCTCCCCAAGCCTAACACAGATCCCTCTAACTCTTCACTACACCTTAGGAAAGCTAGGGTAAACTACAGATTCAATAAAATCTCAATATGAAAATCCCAGAAACCTTCCCCAATGCCCTGTGATTTGGCCTGAACATAGGGAAAATGGACTGCAGGGTGGCTACATAACAGGAACAAAGAGTTAAGAATAATAACTGCCTAAGTTACCAGGATAGGACCAACCCTTCATTAACGACACAAAGTAGAATTACAAAGCAGTATACAGTGTGGCTGGGGGACAGTCAAGGACCATCTAGACTTTTAAGTGTTAGGAGCACCACAGGTCCAAATGCTCCCCAGAGCAGACTAAAACTGGATTGTTGTCCATGGCAACACTGTTTTCCACTATTCTGTCTATAATGAGAATATATCAATAGCAGGAAAACTGCTTTCACACATGGCAAACCTCAAAGCAAAACAAGGATAACCTCAGACCACTGTTACTTGCTGTAAGTGGGGAAAACAAAACAGCAAATGGGTTTTTAGTAAAGAGAAAAGCAAATATAAATGCAGTTGATAAACTAGAAAGCAATCATCAACTAATTGCAGACTATAAAGAAGAAAAGATACCCCAAAATCCTTCTCCAAATAGCAACTCAGTGGATGGGAGTTAATCAAGCTTTCCAGCAACCAGTTATTGATGATTCATGGCCTACATCAAATGAAGACTTCGATTTTTATACCAATGATGTCCCCAAACCAAGCTTACCAGAGCTAATGACTGCTTCTCAGCAATTCAGGAAAAATTTAGAAGCAAATATGGCATTGTGAGAACAAAAAACAGAACCTTGTTTTGAGGACAGGAATTCTGATAGTGTGAAGATGTGGTTGAAAGCCTTCTCAAACATACAAGTCCAAGGCTTTTCTCATCCTGCCTTTCCATCACCTGACCCTCTTCTGAAACCATCCCTCACGTCTTTAGCAATGTCTGGTCTTACAAAGGAGGGGGCAACAAAGCTGGCAACTGGAATAAAAAAAATTTTATTACTGAAAGTGCTCCATGACAGCAAACAAATTATGACAATTTTATTTTTGTGCTCAAAAATCAAGAGGTGGCCGGGTGTGGTGGGTCACGCCTGTAATCCCATCACTTTGGGAGGCCGAGGCGGGTGGATCACGAAGTCAGGAGATCGAGACCATCCTGGTCAACATAGTGAAACCCCATCTCTACCAAAAATACAAAAATTAGCTGGGTGTGGTGGTATGCACCTATAGTCCCAGCTACTTGGGAGGCTAAGGCAGGAAAATCACTTCAACCTGGGAGGCAGAGGGTGCAGTGACCTGAGATTGCGCCACTGTACTCCAGCCTGGTGACAGAGCGAGATTGTGTCTCAAAAAAAAAAAAAAAAAATTAATAGAGGTGATATCTGCATTAGGATCAAGACTAGAGGAAGATAGAGAATAACATTGGGATTCTGAGAGTACCTCGAAGAATCAACCACAGAAAGATGTCAGCCATTTAACTGGGGCTACAGATCAAAAAGGAAAAAATACAGTAAATGGACACAGTAAATGGACATGTCCCCAAGAGTCTCCTGAGAAATATCCTTATTTGAAGAGGCAGCAGGAGTTGATAAAAAACATAACTAAAAAAGTAGAAGACAACACTGTTACATTTGAATCTGGATCCTATATAGCTTCTCCTGTAGGATCTACTGAGGAGTGAAATATAAATCAAGATTTAGCTTAGAAAGCATGAAGATATAAGGCTGGGCGCTGTGACTCACACCTGTAATCCCAGAACTTTGGGAGGCCAAGGCGGGCAGATCACAAAGTCAGGAGTTTGAGACCAGTCTGACCAACATGGTGAAACCCCCTTTCTACTAAAAATAGAAAAATTAGCCAGGTGTGGTGGCGTGCACCTGTTAATCCCAGCTATTCAGGAGGCTGAGGCAGGAGAATTGCTTGAACCCCTGGGAGGCAGAGATCACGCCACTGCACTCCAGCCTGGGCAAGAGTGAGACTCTGTCTCAAAGAAAAAAAAAAAAAAAGGGCATGAAGATAGTATGTTCCAATTTTAAATGAAAATTATATTGTCTGAAAGACAATTAAAATTTTAGTACTGGGTAGGAAACTGAATTGTTATCTAAAGAAGAAAACATTATGGTTCTCTCCAGGTTTAAAACGGGTGCTCCCATCTAGGCTGCTTTTCCCAGCATTTGATCTTAACTTGAAGGCCATCTGCCCGGCCCAGGGATCAAAGAGCTGCTAAGCTGTTCGTTGGTAGACTCTACTGGGCAAAGCTATGCTATAAACTCTGAAGAAAGGGAGATCTTTTAATGTTGATTACTGAAAGGATTAGAAAGACGTCTTGAAAGAGGACTAAACACAGGAAAAATATACCTTTAGCATGTGAGACCTAGGTGTTTCAGTGCTTAGCTCTTAACTCTTCTGAGGGGAGAAAGTTCCACAAAACAGGTTTCTGTTTGAGGCTGTAATTCTCCTAGGGCAAGAATATCTACTAAACACTAACAAATGCTGGAAGCAGGCATCTGACTTCCTTTGTGCTAAGGACTGAAATCAGTACTAGCCTCTGGCTCCCTACATTCCTACAAAACCAGCTGCAGGTAGGCAAGAAGAGGTTGTTTCGGCTGCACTCAGTACATAAACCAAAGACAAAAAGAGTGAAGTCTATTAAAGAGATAAGTAGCAGATGATACTGGGGACATTTTGGTAAAAGAGTATCAGGTTTGTATGAATGTCTTAAATATTACCTATAACCGCAGCAGCCATGTGCCCCACGTTTCTCAGAACCAATCTCAGCACCAAATATTGTCATGTTCTTTGTCCACATACTAGATTTTTGGTTTTAAAAACATAGTTGCTGCAGTTTACATGCCCACTACTCCTGCGAGGCATACACTGGGCCACTTGGATAGGCTGTCATTTTCTGCAAATCGAGAGACCCAAATCACCTCCTCAGAAGCTCTGGCCTATTTTTGTCCTATTCCTGTCTACCCTAATTGATATCCTTGGCTACATTTACGATAAATCTGTTTTCTGACCATCCTTTCCTTCTTTCAGATGCTGATGAAATTAAGTACAAACAATTGTCAATTATCCAGCACTTGATCTAGGCCTTTAATTCCTTCAGAGAGTGAAGGAATATAGAGATAAAACTCCCACCCACTTGAGGTATGGTTTATGAGCTCTTGCCCAATCACATTACCATTCAGAAGGATTTTCCTGGCTGACTTAAACCAAAAGCTTCATTGTTCCAGTCTGTCATGTCACTGCAGCAACAGCTGTCATCTCAATTGTGCAGTATAATTTTTGACATAATTTATATAAGCACATAGAATTCAATCAGCAGCTGAGCAGGGAAGCAATGTTAACAAATGCCATGAATGGGTATATGATTTGCATATTATTTGGTTCATCTGTGGACTGAAGCTATCCATCCATTCCCCTCATTACTCTGAATAATCCAGAAATGGTGGATGCTCCTGGCCAGACAGCTGTATGTTTTAAAAATCAAAAGCAACAAGAAAAGCAGCCTCATGGCTGGTGAACTCTAGAATTAAGGCTATTTCAAGCATTTATTCTTATTTCCTCAGCTTTGGGGCTGGGACAAGGATCCTCAAAACCCTGCTATTTCCCTACTTTTACTTGTGATTCTCTAGCCCTCCTCAACTATAAGAAGAAAAGGATAAAGTAGGGCACTTCTTGGGGGACAAAGGCAGAAGAATATGATCAGAAAAATTTCTCAATATAACAGCAACACAGGAAGAAACCAAAGGGGAATATTTCACTGAGTAAAGAGAGAAGATTGCGTCAACATGCTAATGCCACAGCCTGTCACTTTCCAAGGTGATAGTCTTTCATGAACATGCCATTATTTTTATTTATTTATATTTTTTAGAGACAGGGGTCTCACTACATTGCCCAAGCTGGTCTCAAACTCCTGCTTCAAGCAATTCTCCTGCCTCAGCCTGCCAAAGTGCTGGGATTACAGGTGGGAGCCACTGTGCCTGGCCATGAAAATGCATTTAAAAAAATAAGATACAACTGTAAGTTTGAGAAAAAGGGAAGAGCATTAACATTTTGTGGACTCTTGGTGGTAAATCCAGCAGCCAAGAAAGTAGGAGACTTATAACTGCTATGAATATTTAAAACTGATATTGCAGCCAACAGCTCACCTCCAAAACTTCCCCACTGAAAATAATGGCATAGAAGGGAAACTCAGGTCCACTGAGAAGTGAGGGTCAGGTTTGAAGCCTCTTTGGTAACGGGAATGCTTTGGGAGGCCACAAAAGTTGGCAGGGTTGGAGGGTGCCTAGCACCTTGGCACAAGCAAGCACCAGGCAATCACTCACACCCACATAAATATACAGTCTAAATATGAGGAATGGAACGAAATAATACATACATACCATGTGTGGTAATGAAGACAATTGTACCCTACCCCATCATCCTCATGTACTATAGCTAAAAATCTCCACAGTTAATAATCTTGTCATTTTTTCACAAATTGACATCACTTTACAGAAGCAGAAGCGGGGTGTGCTAAAAGCAAGACCGAAAGTCCTGGGGCTAAAAAGAGTGCCTTGACAAATCTCAGTGTAAAATTTCAAATCTTCCAAAGGATGGAGTAACTCTGGGAGCGTAAGTGAGGATGAACAACAGAGGGTGGCCCAGAAGACCACACCAGAAACCCTGTATTCTCCTGGGTAGAGCTGAACAAGGTTGGGAAAAGCCCCAACAGGTAGGCAGTTGCTATTGGCTTTTTAAAAGATGGGCAACATCCTTTCCATCTCAACATGTCAAAACAAAGGCCAGCTAGTCAGCAACATGTTCTAAGAACCAAAGCAAGAAAGAAACCAAAATTCAACATTATTGTAACAAAATCCCCCAACCTAAAAAGCAACCAACCCTGAAAAGATCAAGACTCTAAGGTGATAAAAAGTTAAACTCATCTTGAGGTCGCAGGGGAGCAGAAGGAAGAGATCAGGGCAAAGGAAAAAAAAATTGTGGGTATTACACACATTATGTAAATGCCTGGTCTTCACAGAGAGACACTTATCATTAATCAGACCATCAGTTATGTTACAAGAAACCAATACCAACATTTCTCCTGTGGAGCACAGTGATAAGCACATTTTTTATGGATGTGTTTAGGATAGAAAGGGGTGGGTAGAAGGGAGAGGAGGCAGGAAGGTGAATGTATTATGTACAAAGAGAAATGACAGAGACCACCCCCTCCTTTAGCTCTTTGCCGTTTCTTTCTCTTTGTTTTCTGCATCCTCAGGATATGCGTGCCATGTCAGTCTCTCTTCATAAAATGCTATCACAATTTGTGGACATTTCACATTAGCTTCTTTTGCAAGAACCAGGTCAGCTTCATCTGTGTCTTTCCTGGAAAGAAAGAATATGCTACTTAAAAGGAGAGGAAGTAAGAATGAAAGAATCTGTCCAGACATAAGTTTATGTCATTATACGGACTTAGGTGTCTTGATTTCCTCCTCACTTTGACTTCAAGGTGAAAAGGACCCTTTCAATATCTTCAAGAAGAAATTTATGTAAATGGATTAATATATTAATCCTATTATACAGAAACAGATGTCTGCAAGTAGAATTTAGATGTAAAACATGGTAGGCTCAGTTTAAAAAGCTGAATAAATGATATTAATCTGCTTCCATAATTTTTATTTGTGAATAGGAGCATGTGAGTGAACCCAATCAAACCTACATTCAACTGTATTGATTACACGTAAGTCAATTATGCACAGGTTGGTCAATCCAGTTTCCAGATCATCTAAGTGAAGAGGTCTTAACCCTCCTCACTTTGTGGCCTTTTAAATACTCATTACCCCTCTGGTCAGAACCATAGATTGGAACAAGCAAATAAAACTTTAGCTACAAATTTCAATTATCTCAGTTACAGCCTTTACTACCAAGTATAACAAAAAAAATCTAGCCACATGGTTCCTTAGGCATGATTACAAATCAAGAAAAAAATTAAATTATCCTGAGAAGGCCAGGTGCAGTAGTTCATGCCTGTAATCCCAACATATTGGGAGGCTGAGGCAAGTGGATCGCTTGAGCCCAGGAGTTCAAGACAAGCCCGGGCAACATGGCGAAACCCATCTCTACAAAACATACAAAAATCAGCTAGGCATGGTAGTGCATGCTTGTGGTCCCAGCTGCTTGGGAGGCTGAAGTGGGAGGATCACTTGGGCTTGGGAGGTGGAGGTTGCAGTGAGCTGAGATTGAACCACTAAACTCCAGCCTGGGCAACAGGGCAAGACCCAGTCTCAAAATAAATAAATAAATAATAATAAATAAAATTAAATTATCCTGATATGAGGACAAGGGAAATTACCACCTTGTTGGAGCAGATACTCAAATTTGGACTATGGTGGAAAAAGCCAATTAATGATATGTAAATCATAAGTAACACATATGGCTGAGTAAGAAAAAGCAGTCCAGTCTAGACACAGTGCCTCATACCTATAATCCCAGCACTCTGGGAGGCTGAGGTGGGAGAAACACTTGAGCCCAGGGCAACAAAGAAGGACCTAGTGTCTTCAAAAATTTTTTCAAAAAATTAGCAGGCCATGGTGGCATGCACCTGTAGTCCCAGCTACTCAGGAGACTGGTGTAGGAGGATAACTTGAATTCCGGAAGTCAAGGGTGCAGTGAGCTGTGATCACACCACTGTACTCCAGCCTGGGTGACAGAGTGAGACCCTGTCTAAAATAAAATTTTTAAAAAGCAGTCCAGGCCTGTAATCCCAGCACTTTGGGATGCCGAGGCAGGAGGACTGCTTGAGGTCAGGAGCTCGAGACCAGCCTGGCCAATATGGTAAAACCCCATCTCTACTAAAAATACAAAAATTAGCCAGATGTCGTGGCACATGTCTATAATCAGCTACTTGGGTGGCTGAGGGATGAGAACCACTTGAACACCTGGGAGAAGAAGGCTGTAGTGAGCCGAGATGGTGCCACTGCAATCCAGCCTAAGTCATAAAGCAAGACTGTCTCAAAAACAAAACAAAACAAGCAGTCCATACAGCTCCTTATTTCTGACAGAATATAGCAATTCTTCAAACATAGGCTTCTGGGTAACTTACCAGCAGCACTCTCATCAGATAAAATAATAAGCCTTTGATTATACAGCTTTGTTTTTTTTTTTTTAAGTGCAGTGGCGCCATCTCAGCTCACTGTAATCCTCGCCTCCTGGGTTCAAGCAATTCTCCTGTCTCCGCCTCCCGAGTAGCTGGAACTACAGGCACCCACCACCATGCCAAGCTAATTTTTGTATTTTTAGTAGAGACAGGGTTTCACAATATTGGTCAGCCTGGTCTAGAACTCCTGACCTCAGGTGATCTGCCTGCCTCGGCTTCCCAAAGTGCTGGGATTACAGGTGTGAGCCACTGCACCCGCCCAATTATACTTTTAAGGTAACTTTTAAGGTAACATATTTCTTTAGTGGCAATGCAGCACAAACCTTCTATGTATCACAAACCCAGAATACTTGGAAACAGTGAGGGCCATACCATAAATCACTCTGTTTCTAAGAAATCAAATTGAGCATCTTTAAGTAATCAAATTGAGGGCTCAGTGCAGTGGCTCACGTCTGTAATCCTAGCATTTTGGGAGGCCGGGGCGGGCAGACTGCTTAAGGTCAGGAGTTCGAGAGCAGCCTGACCAACATGGCAAAACCCCATCTCTACTAAAAATATAAAAAGTAGCCAGGCATAGTAGCAGGCACCTGTAATCCCAGATACTTGGGAGGTTGAGGCAGGACAATCACTTGAACCTGGAAGGAGGAGGTTGCAGTGAGCCAAGATCATGCCACTACACTCCAGACAACAGAGTGAGATTCCGCCTCAAAAAAAAAGAAAAAAAGAAATCACATTGAGAGGAACTACTTCCCTTTCATTTAAGAGCCATTCGGTCTCTACTGGATGAAATAACTTGTGCTTTGGCCAGTATTAGCTTTAATGCTTTTTGTTGAGATTATTTTTCTCTTTTAGACATTATTCAGTAGGTTTGGCCCTCAGTGATGGCAGAAAGTCTCATTTTGATTCCTAGTCCAGGGTCACAGGCCCATGGTCTTACAGTAAATAATTCAGAACTGTGTAAACAAATGGTTATGTCATGTTGATGTTTTCTTTCTTTGAGATGGAGTCTCACTCTGTGCCCATGTGGGAGTGTAGTGGCTCGATCTCAGCTCACTGCAACCTCTGCCTCCCAGGTTCAAGCAATTCTCCTTCCTCAGCCTCCCAAGTAGCGGGGACTACAGGCATGCGCCACCACACCCAGCTAATTTTTTGTATTTTTATTAGAAATGGGGGTTCACCATGTTGGCCAGGCTGGCCTTAAACTCCTGACCTCAAGTGATCTGCCTGCCTTGGCCCCCAAAGTGTTGGGATTACAGGCATAAGCCACTTTGCCCGGCCCTTATATATTTTCTACCTCAAATTTACCTTTTTTCTGATAGTAGGCTACTATAATTTGGCTTAATAACAAAGCTTGAGAATGTCTTAAATCCATTCTGAACCATAATTCCCATTTAATACCAATAATTGGTTAAGGATATCTGACATTCAAAATTCATGGTCTGGGAATACGCAGTCTTGCCACTTAATCTTCCACACAAATTCAAGTGACTGGCAAAGAAACACAATTGTAAAGTGAAGCCAAACCTTTCTCACCATTTCATTAGGAACATTAAATCACCACAGGAATCTGTCGCCCCAATGATCTTTTCTGGTTCCAGTCCTCTCTCAAAGCCCCGAGCAATATCATTGCTCTGCTATAAATAGAAGATGAAGAAAGGTTACAGCTTGTGGAAAGAGAAAAGAAACTCCCTATTTCTAGGCTCAACAAAACACAATATAGTTAATATCACCTGATACCATTTCTGTCGCCAATTCGGAAAAATTTTTAGAACTTAATAACAGTACTAAGTACTGACAGTGACAATGAAGTGACAGTGATGCCAAGAGATATTTTTGTAAGATGTTATCTTTCCTGGAATTCCTTCAGAAGATTGGAGGTGAACCCTAAAAGTCTCTAATGTTCCGTAAGATACTCTGAAGTCAACATCTAGGAACTCCTCTAATCCCACTCACTCAGAATATCCTTAATATTGTTAAATAAGCTCCTGAAATGATAAAGACTATGTTTACCCTAACTAAACCTTTTCATTTTACAAACTTCAAATATTCTACCTCTCTCAATCTTTATTTTTTTAGACTTTTAGTTTACCTTAACACTAACCAATAATTTTAATATATTTCACAGTCACCTATATTTATCAAAGAACAGAGGTACGAATTATGCAAAGCCAATACTACTAAATGGCAAATTTCAGAGATCACAAACACCAATGCCTATGTGCTTGATTAGAGAGAAGGCCCTGGTCAGTGCCTATCCCCTCTAGATGTAGATGACTGTTAGCATTAGAGGGCAGAACTGGACTGTAATCAAAAACAAAAACAAACAAAAAAAAACAAAAAGAAAAAACTGCCCTGGTACAGTGCCTCAGGCCTGTAATCCCAGCACTTTGGGAGGCTGAGGTAGGAGGACTGCTTGAGACTAGGAGTTGGAGACCAGCATGGACAACTGTCTCTACAAAAAAAAATTGTAAAAATTAGCTGGGCACAGTGGTGCACACCTGAAGTGTGCTACCTCTATTCAAGAGGCTGAAGTGGGAGGATCCCCTGAGTCCAGGAGTTCAAGGCTGCAGTGAGCTACATCATGTCACTATGCTTCATGGTGGGCAACATAGTGAGAGCCTGTCTCTTAAAGTAAGAAAGAAAAAAAATCTTTATTTATTATTATTTTTTTTTGAGACGGAGTCTCACTCTGTCGCCAAGGCTGGGGTATACAATGGCGCAATCTCAGCTCACAGCAACCTTTGCCTCCTGGGTTCAAGTGGTTCTCCTGCCTCAGCCTCCCAAGTAGCTGGGATTATAAGCGTGTGCCACCACACCCAGCTAATTTTTGTAGTTTTAGCAGAGACAGGGTTTCACCATGTTGGGCAGGATGGTCTTGATCTCTTGACCTCGTGATCTGCCTGTCTTGGCCTCCCAAAGTGCTGGGATTATAAGCATGAGCCACGGTGCCCAGCCAGAAAAAAAATCTGATAATTCATGAGATGAGTATTGAAACTTGTTCTAAATTCAGTAATACAGTCTAGACAAGGAGCACAGGTTCTAATCCAGATGTAGTAACACTGATGAGAGCTAAAAAGCAAAATTTTATGCAAGCCAGGTAATTTTTTTTTTTTGAGACAGACTCTCCCTCTGTTGTCCAGGCTGGAGTGCAATGGCACAATCACAGCTCACTGCAACCTCCACCTCCTAGATTAAAGTGATTCTCCTTCCTCAGCCTCCCAAGTAGCTGGAATTACAGGCACGCGCTACTGCACCTGGCTAGTTATTGCATCTTTAGTAAAGACAGGGTCTCACCATGTTGGCCAGCCTGGTCTCAAACTCCTGGCCTCAGGTGATCTGCCTGCCTTGGTCTCCTAAAGTGCTGAAATTACAGGTGTGAGCCACTGCACCTGGCCATGCCTGGATAATTTTTATATTTTTAGCAGAGACAGGGTTTCACCATGTTGACTAGGCTAGTCTCAAACTCCTGGCCTCAAATGATCCACCCGCCTTTGCCTCCCACAGTGCTGGGATTACAGGTGTGAGCCACCGTACCCAGCCCAAGCTAGGTAATTTTTAAAAACTTTATTATGGAAGATAATGTTAGCCTCTCCAATGGCAACACAAAAAAAGATTTAGAGATGCCCAAATGAGCTAAATCTCTAGTGATGATTCTTATAGTAAAATCTTTTTGATCTGATGATGTTCACCTTGCTTTCCTCTGAGACACAGAAAGCATTTGGGGTCTGGGTGGTCCCCAAAGATACCAAAATCCACAATAGGAAGGAAATTCCATGCATGAATCATTGAAATATACTGACTTTTAAAAACATAGCCTCTTTGGGGGGCGCTTAAGGGGAAGAAGTTCCCAGATGTGCACACAGCTGCTCACAGCTGGAATGCTGGCACATGGACTAAGTTGTAAATCATAGCTGACAGCTGAAAACAGTTTGCTATACAGGGAGGGAAACGGGGACAAATGGAAGAAAAATGTTCAAACTGCTGAAAAGGCGCCTCAGCGAAGAAAATGCTAAAATCATTATACAGGCAGTAATCTTAAATCAGGCATAATGCAGACTAAATTTCTTCTGCAGTGGTCTTAAGAAAGAAACGCAATCTCCTCCTGTACCTTTAAAACATACAATCACCTATCTTCCCAACTGTCTACCTGACAGCAACCAGTACTGCTAGAATGCTCTCAGGGGCCCCAGATGAACATTATGATCTAAGGGAAATGTGGGGGTTGTTTTCAAGGTCGGCAGCTTCAGAACCTGGCCTAGGAACAAAACTCTGCACTGGCCAGTGACTCTAAGCCAGATAATTCGAGCTGCTCATTTTTAAAAAGGACAGAGGTTGGTCACGATGGCTCACTCCTGTAATCCCAGCACTTTGGGAGGCCAAGGCAGGCAGATCACAAGGTCAGGAGATCAAGACCATCCTGGCTAACATGGGGAAAGCCCATCTCTACTAAAAATACAAAAAATTAGCCGGGCATGGTGGCTGGCACATGCTTGTAGTCCCCACTACTTGGGAGGCTGAGGCAGGAGAATCGCTTGAACCCAGGAGGTGGAGGCTGCAGTGAGCTGAGATCACACCACTGCACTCCAGCCTGGGCGACAAAGCAAGACTCTGTCTCAAAATAAATTAATTAATTAATTAATTTAATTTGATTGTAATTTTACTGGGTCTGGGGTACATCTTAGGCAGTGGATAATTTTTTTTTTTTTTTAAAGCACCGTCCAGGTGAGTATAATGTATAGCCAGGGTTGAGAACTAATACTCTAGAAAGTTAGATATGTAAGTAGAATGAAGATAAATAGGGATGCTTGTGGCAGAGATGCTGGAAGATTCAGAAGTAGACTTATGCTTTTATTAATCGTAAAGTTTATGATACAGGCTTCACCACAAAACGCTTCATAACCTTGAAATAAATAAAAGGAATAGAAGCTGGGTGGGGGGCAGGAGGAGGTGGTAAAGTGTGTATATTTATGCGCCCACACACAGTTGAAAAAAGAGACAGACAATTACAGTGCTAATAATGCCAGTTGCTTGAGAGCTAAAGAGCAGAAGGATTAAAGCAACTAAATCAAACCAAAATGTCATAAATATACTTCCCAAACTGAAGAAGATTCAAAAGACAAAAATTAATTTTAACTCCAAGTATGTAGAAATAATAGATGAAGAGAATATAAATGCTATTGAACTGTTCACTTTAAAATTATTAATTGAGCCAGGTGCATTGGCTCAAACCTGTTAATCCCAGCACTTTGGGAGGCTCAGGTGGGAGGATCACCTGAGGTTGGGAGTTTGAGATCACCCTGACCAACATGGAGAAACCCCATCTCTACTAAAAATACAAAATTAGCCAGGCATGATGGGACATGCCTATAATCCCAGCCTCTCAGGAAGACTGAGGCAGGAGAATTGCTTAAAGCCAGGAGGCAGAGGTTGTGGTGAGCTGAGATCGCGTCATTGCACCCCAGCCTGGGCAACGAGAGTGAAATTCCATCTCAAATAAAGAAAGAATAAAAATACAAATACAAAAATTAGCTGGGTGTGGTGGCACACGCCTGTAATCTCAACTACTCAGAAGGCTGAGACAAGAGAATCATTTGAACCCAGGAGGTGGAGGTTGCAGTAAGCCATGATTGCGCCATTGCACTCCAGCCTGAATGACAGACTCCATCTCAAAAAAATAAATAAATAAAATCAGCCAGGCGTGGTGACTCACGCCTATAATCCCAGCACTTTGGGAGGCCCAGGCAGGAGATCAAGACCATTCTGGCTGACATGATAATAGCCCGTCTCTACTAAAAATACAAACAAAGGCCGGGCGCGGTGGCTCAGGCCTGTAATTCCAGCACTTTGGGAGGCCGAGGCGGGTGGATCACGAGGTCAAGAGATCAAGACCATCCTGGTCAACGTGGTGAAACCGCGTCTCTACTAAAAATACAAAAAATCAGCTTGGCATGGTGGCGCGTGCCTGTAATCCCAGCTACTCAGGGGGCTGAGGCAGGTGAACTGCCTGAACCCAGGAGGCGGAGGTTGCAGTGAGCCGAGATCGCGCCATTGCACTCCAGCCTGGGTAACAAGAGCGAAACTCCTCTCAAAAAAACAAACAAACAAACAAACAAAGGGCAGGCACGGTGGCTCAAGCCTGTAATCCTAGCACTTTGGGAGGCCGAGGCAGGAGGATCACGAGGTCAAGAGATCGAGACCATCCTGGCCAACATGGTGAAGCCCTGTCTCTACTAAAAATACAAAAAAAAAAAAAAAAATTAGCTGGGCATGGTGGCATGCGCCTGTAGTCCCAGCTACCCGGGAGGCTGAGGCAGAAGAATTGCTTGAACCCGAGAGGTGGAGGTTGCAGTGAGCAGAGATCACACCATTACCCTCTAGCCTGGGTGACAGACTGAGACTCTGTCTCAAAATAAATAAATAGGCCGGGCGCGGTGGCTCAAGCCTGTAATCCCAGCACTGTGGGAGGCCGAGGCGGGTGGATCACGAGGTCAAGAGATCGAGACCATCCTGGTCAACATGGTGAAACCCCGTCTCTACTAAAACTACAAAAAATTAGCTGGGCATGGTGGCGCGTGCCTGTAATCCCAGCGACTCAGGAGGCTGGGGCAGGAGAATTGCCTGAACCCAGGAGGCGGAGGTTGCGGTGAGCCGAGATCGCGCCATTGCACTCCAGCCTGGGTAACAAGAGCGAAACTCCATCTCAAAAATAAAAAAATAAAAAATAAATAAATAAATAAATAAATAAATAAATAAAATCATTAATAGTACATTATGATTTTCACTGCAAAAAAAGATTATCAAGGATTAAAAACAAGGACTATTGGAACATGAAAAAAGAAAGTGGCAAACACTTCAAAGCCCCTTTCTATTCTTAAAAAACTCACCAATGATACTTCTTCTTTAAGATGACCAAGTCTTCTATTTATGGAGAAGGCAGAAGAGTGATTTAATGTTTTACAAATATTTAATTTTGCCAACTTAATACAATTCAGTGGCCACAAACTACATTTCTCACTCAGCCAGGAGAGGGAGCTATAATCAACATACCTCCCTGAAGCTCTTTTGTTCAACAATTTACCTTATAGGTCCATCCTTACAACAGAAATAACCAAAATATGATATTTTTATTTATTATTATTTTGGTGACAAAAGGATAGTTTGTGGGGAAAACGGGAAAGGAAGCTTACCTCTCTCTTTTTTTTAGATTTGATATCATCAGCACTGTTTGAGAAATTGGATTTCCTTTTGTTACTTTCTGACTTCTCCCTGGGTTTGTTATTTTCACCCTCCTTCATCTTCTTATACTTTTTCATAAACTCAGAAATTAGCTCAGGGCAATCCAAGTTTTTCTCAGGTTCCCAAGTATTGTGCTCCCTGGGCAAGAAAAATGGGAAAATAAAAAAAGGGGTAAAGAATGAGGAAAAAAATCCAATGTCTTATTTCAAAGAGGACATTCAGACAAAAAGGAGAGAGAAACCTTATGCTTTAAAGAAGCTAACAAATTTGATCCTAGATTTCTAGAAAAATTTTTTTAAAAATGCCCACACAGACTTATACACAATCGTTTACAGCAGCTTTTTAATAGCCAAAAACAGAAAACAATCGTTTACAGCAGCTTTTTAATAGCCAAAAACAGAAAACAAATTCAAATATTCAGCAACAGATGGTGACATGGAAAAACAAAATGTGGTATATCCATACAAAGGAATATTATTGAACAAAAAAACAAAATACTTAAAACATGCTACAACTTGGAAGAACCCCAAAAACATTATACTAAGTGAAAGAAAAAAGACACAGACACCATATATCGTCTAATTCCATTTATATGAAATGTCTGGGAAAGAAATTTAGAGAGATAGAAAGCAGATTAGCCAAGCGTGGTGGCTCATGCCTATAATCTCAACACTCTGAGAGGCGGAGGCAGGCAGATCACTTGAGGTCAGGAGTTCGAGACCAGCCTGGCCAACACAAAGAAACCTCATCTGTACTAAAAATACAAAAATTAGCTGGGTGTGGTGGTGCATAGCTGTAGTCCCAGCTACTCAGGATCCTGAGGCAGGAGAATCGCTTGAGCTTGGGAAGGGAAGGTTGCAGAGAACCAAGACTGCACCACTGCACTCCAGCCTGGGTGAAAAAGCCAGGCTCTGCCTCAAAAAAAATAAAAAATAAAAAATAAATAGCAGATCATTGATTGCCTGGGGCTGAGGGTGGGAGTTGTAATTCCCAAAAAACAAGAATCAAGAGAATTTTGGGGAACATGAGAATGTTCTAAAACTCGATCACAGTGATGGCTGCACAGCTCTATAAATTTACTAAAAATTATTTAATTGGGGCCAGGCACAGTGGCTAATGCCTGTAATCCCAGCACTTTGGGAGGCGCTCTGGAGTTTGAGACCAGCGTGGTCTCCACTAAAAATACAAAAATTAGCTGGGCTTGGTGGCACACGCCTGTAGTCTGAGCTACTTGGGAGCTAGGGCATTCTGAAAACTGCTTGAACCTGCTGAGGTTGGTCGTAGTGAGCCAAGATTACGGCACTGCATTCCAGTCTGGGCAACAGAGACAGACTCCACCTCAAAAAAAAAAAAAAATCATTTAATTGAGCTGGGCACAGTGGCTCACGCCTGTAATCTCAGCACTTTGGGAGGCCAAGGTGAACAGATCATTTGAGTCTACAAATTCAAGACCAGCCTAAGCAACATACCAAGACTCCGTCTCCACAAAAAATTTTAAAATTACCCAGGTGTGGTGGCTTACACCTGTAGTCCCAGCTACTTGGGAGGCTAAAATGAGAAGATCTCTTGAGCCCAGGAGGTTGAGGCTGCAGTGAACTTTATCGTACCACTGTACTCCTGGTAACAGAGCGAGACACTGCCTCAAAAAAAAAAAAAAAAAAAGAAACTGAATTGTACAATTTTTTTGTTTTTGAGACAGTCTCACTCTGTCGCCAGGCTGGAGTGCAGTGGCATGATATTGGCTCACTACAACCTCCGTCTCCAGGGTTCAAGCGATTCTTCGGTCTCAGCCTCCCCAGTAATTGGGATTGCAGGCATGTGCCACCAATTTTTGTATTTTTAGTAGAGACGGGATTTTACCGTATTGACCGGGCTGGTCTCGAACTCCTGACCTCAAGTGATTTGCCTGCCTCAGCCACCCAACGTGCTGGGATTACAGGTGTGAGCCAATACACCCAGCTTGAACTGTACAATTTCAGTGGGTGAATTTTAAGGTGTTTAAATTAAACCTCAAATAAGCTGTTTAAAAACTCAAATTTCGGCTGGACACAGTGGCTCATGCCTGTAATCCCAGCACTTTGGAAGGCTGAAGCAGGTGAATCACCTGAGGTCATGAGTTCCGGACCAACCTGGCCAACCTGATGAACCCTGTCTCTACTAAAAATACCAAAATTATCTAGGTGTGGTGCTGCACGCCTGTAATCCCAGCTACCAGATAGGCTGAGGCAGGAGAATCGCTTGAACCTGGGAGGCAGAGGATGTAGTGAACTGAGATTGCACCACTGCACTCCAGTCCCGGTGACAGAGCAAGACTTCATCTCAAAACAAAACAAACCAAAACAAAACAAATTTGCTGGCTAGGCAAGGTGGCTCATGCCTATAATCCCAGCACTTTGGGAGACCAAGGTGGGCAGTTCACCTGAGGTCAGGAGTTTGAGACCAGCCTGGCTAACGTAATGAAACCCCATTTCTACTAAAAATACAAAAATTAGCCAGGACTAGTGGTGCGCACCTGTAGTCCCAGCTACTCAGGAGGCTGAGGCAGGAGGCTCACTTGAACCCAAGAGGCAGAGGTTGCAGTGAGCTGAGATCACACCAGCACTCCATCCTGGGCAACAAAGCAAGACTCCGTCTCAAAAAATATAAAAAGGGCAGGCATCGTGGCTCACACCTGTAATCCCAGCACTTTGGGAGGCCAAAATGGGCAGATCACAAGATCAGGAAATGGAGACCATCCTGGCTAACATGGTGAAACCCCATCTCTACTAAAAATATAAAAAATTAGCAGGGGGTGGTGGCATGTGCCCATAGTCCCAGCTACTTGGAAGGCGAGGCAGGAGAATCACTTGAACTTGGGAGGCAGAGGTTGCAGCGAACAGAGATTATACCACTGCACTCCAGCCTGGGCAACAGAGCAAGACTCCGTCTCAAAAAAATAAATAAGTAAAAAATAAAAAATACCAAAAAATATTTTTTTAAATAACCCAAATTTTGGCCAGGCGAGGTGGCTCACGCCTGTAATCCCAGGACTTTGGGAGCCCAAGGCAGGCGGATCACAAGGTCAGGAGTTTGAGACCAGCCTGGCCAATATGGTGAAATCCAATCCCTACTAAAAATACAAAAGTTAGTCAGACGTTGTGGTAGGCATCTGTAGTCCCAGTTACTCAGGAGGCTGAGGCAGGAGAACTGCTTGAACCCGGGAGGCGGAGGTTGCAGTGAGCCAAGATCTCGCCATTGCACTCCAACCCGGGCAACAGAGCAAGACTCCATCTCATTAAAAAAAAAAAAAAAAAAAAAAAATTGAATTCTGGTTTCGAAGTAGCAAAAACTGCATGATATCACACATAAAATCATTTGTGCAAATCCTGAAAAGAACAATTTAATAATAAATTATGGACCCCCAGTTTATATTATCTTAAATATGTCACTCTTTTTTTTGAAACAAGGTCTCACCTTGTCACCCAGTCTGGAATGCAGGGGCATGATCATGACTCACTGCAGCCTTGACCTCCCAGGCTCAAGTGATCCTCCTGCCTCAGCCTCCCAAGTAGCTGGGACGGCAGGAGTGCACCACCACACCTGGCAACTTTTTTTTTTGTAGAGATGGATCTCACTATCTTGTCTAGGCTGATCTCGAACTCCTGGGCTCAGGCGATCCTCCTGCCTTGGCCTCCCAAAGTGCTGGTGTTACAGGAATGAGCTACCACACCCATCCCGTCTTGGGAATTTTATTTGTTTTATTTATTTATTTATTTAGAGACAGAGCTCTGCTCTTGCTGCCCAGGCTTGAGTGCAATGGTGTGATTTTGGCTTACTGCAACCTCCACCTCCTGGGTTCAACTGATTCTCCTGCCTCAGCCTCCTGGGTAGCTGGGATTACAGGCACCTGCCACCACCGCCCAGCTGATTTTTGTACTTTTACTAGAGATGGGGTTTCACCATATTGGCCAGGCTGGTCTCGAACTCCTGACCTCAAGTGATCCGCCCACCTCAGCCTTCTGAATTGCTGGGATTACAGATGTGAGCCACCGCGCCCAGCCTTTGTTTATTTTAAATAAGGTTTCTTTAGATGGAAATGATCTGAACACATCCCATAATAACCTGACTCAAACAGGAAGCAGAATAATAGAAAAATCTGAGCTACTTACTCTTGACCTAAACAACTTTCTACAAAAGGAATATTGAGACAAAATTTATTTCTAAATCATTTGAGCTAATATGGGAAAGCTTCTCCTTTATATCCCTTCTCTCAGCAGAAAATATAATTCCTCATCTTACTCCTCTCATCCCAGCACTTGGGGAGGTAGAGGCAGCTGGATCACTTGAGGTCAGGAGTTCAAGACCAGCCTGGCCAAAGGGGTGAAACCCCACCTCTACTAAAAATACAAAAATTAGACAGGTGTGGTGGTGGGCACCTGTAATCCCATCTACTCCAGAGGCTGAGGTAGGAGAATCGTTTGAACCCGGGAGGGAGGAGGTTGCAGTGAGCCGAGATTTTGCCACTGCACACCAACCTGGCCAACAAGAGCAAAACCCTTGTCTCAAAAAAAGAAAACGAGGCACGGTGGCTCATGCCTGTAATCCCAGCACTTTGGGAGGCCAAGGCAGGTGGATCACGAGGTCAGGCATTCAAGACCAGCCTGACCAGTATGGTGAAATCCCGTCTCTAAAAAAAAAAAAAGAATAAAAAATAAAATAAAGGAAAAGAAACAGCTGGGCGCGGTAATCCCAGCACTTTGGGAAGCCAAGATGGGCAGATCATGAGATCGTGAGTTCAAGATCAGCCTGGCCAAGATGATGAAACTCTGTCTCTACTAAAAATCACAAAAAAATTAGTTGGGTGCAGTAGCAGACATCTATAATCCCCGCTACTTGGGAGGCTGAGGCAGGAGAATTGCTTGAACCCAAGAGGCAGAGGTTGCAGTGAGTCGAGATCACACTACTGCACTCTAGCCTGGGCAACAGAGCAAGACTCCGTCTCAAAAAAAAAAAAAAAAAAAAAAAAAAGAAAAAATTCTTCACACAGTAACCTTCCCCCAAAACCCACAGACCATACAGTTTACCATCCCAGAGGAAATTAACATAGCAGTATCAAAAGGTGTACCAAGACTATTACACAAGCCAAACAGACTTTGAGGTTGGGAAGAGTCTGTTTGTTACAGTATATATAGGAGACTGGAGAGACCAATGGGGTTAAACAGGAGGATTTTATTACAGTGGCTACTGGATTAGAGGATTAGTATTTTAAGTTTGAGCCCCAGAGAAAGAAAATGGGGTATTTTTATACATTTAGGATGACATAGCAGCTAACAGATTTACACATGTTAGAACAAAGAACAGTTAATTTGCAACATGTTTTGTGATGTACGTTACATTTGATAACAGCATTTTGGCCGGGGGCGGTGGCTCAAGCCTGTAATCCCAGCACTTTGGGAGGCCGAGGCGGGTGGATCACGAGGTCAAGAGATCGAGACCATCCTGGTCAACATGGTGAAACCCCGTCTCTACTAAAAATACAAAAAATCAGCTGGGCATGGTGGCGTGTGCCTGTAATCCCAGCTACTCAGGAGGCTGAGGCAGGAGAATTGCCTGAACCCAGGAGGCGGAGGTTGCGGTGAGCCGAGATCGCGCCATTGCCCTCCAGCCTGGGTAACAAGAGCGAAACTCCGTCTCAAAAAAAAAAAAAAAAAAAGAAAACAGCATTTTGAGAAACTCACTGTACATTTTTGGGGTTATCTTGCCCTGTGACCTTGCAGCTGGCCAGCAGGAGAAATAAGAGTTTTGGGATGCCTGAGAACTTTGCTGAGAATGTGGGGAGAATAGATAAGGTAGGTTTTATAGAGAATTAGTTAATTTTAGGCAGAACTGGGGTTAGGTTTTATATTAAACAGCACACAACACAGCAAAATTTATTATATGGCAACTACAAATTATAAGGTTTTGTTTTTACTATTGTTGCTATTATTTAATTTCCTATGTTGATAGCAAGGAAAGCCAGTTCTATAATGGGATTATCCCTTTTCCTAACACTTTGGTACTGCTGCTTCTACTTCAACCAGTTTCACCCAGAAGACAACATGGTATTTAAAAAGGGCCTGGGTTGGCCAGTCACGATGATTGATGCTTATAATCGCAGCACTTCGAGAGGCTGAGGCAGGCCTTGAGCCCAAGAGTCCGAGACCAGCCTGGGTAACACAGTGAGACCCCATCTCTATTTTAAAAATAAAAATGTAGGCCGGGTGTGGTGGCTCATGCCTGTAATCCCAGCACTTTGGGAGGCTGAGGTGGGTGGATCATCTGAGGTCAGGAGTTCAAGACCAGCCTGACTAATATGGTGAAACCCCGTCCTTAAAAAAAAGAAAAAGAAAAATGGGTGATAAATTTAAAAAATAATTACAGTTTTTGAAGAGGCAAAGTCTTGCTATGTTAACCAGGCTGGAGTGCAGTGGCTATTCACAGGCATGATCCCACTAATGGTTAGGAGTTTTGACCTGCTCTGGTTCACCCCTCCTTAGGCAACCTGGTGGTTCCTCACTCCTGGGAGGTCACTATATTGATGCCAAACTTAATGCAGACACCTGATCGATTTAGTGTACCACAGCCCAGAACTCCTGGACTCAAGCAATCCTCCCACCTCAACCTCCCTAGTAGCTGGGACTACAGGTATACACTACCATGCCTGACTCTGAATGCTTTTATGAGAATCAAAGAGAACACAAGAGGTAGAATCTGATCACTGTCTAGCACATTTAGTTATAGACAATGCCGATTTGTTCCAGTCTTTTATGAAATCAAGGGCATTTCTGAAAAAGTAAGGACCAATGTTAACTTGTCTACTCCAAACCTTGTCTTTCCTCCTTTTATCTATGGTAAGGTACCAGTAGCTCAATGGCAGAGAAAGAGTTTCAAGTATCTTTCAAACATCCAAGTATTTCCAGTGGTGATTCAATAGGCCCAATAAACATCTTCAAAATCTTCAGGTGTTACTTTAGTTCCTATCTGTTAGTGCTCTAGGGGTCTCTCAAACTCAACAGTTCTCATCTCTAGTGGAAGCTGTGATACCACTCCTCTCTAGAAACAAGAAGGGCATCTTCTGATTGTTGCGCTACCCATACTTGCATTCTGGGTGCTAGAGACGCTAAGGATCCTGCAATGCATGAACGATCCCACCTACAATACCATTAATTCTCCAGATAAGAAGCCTTTATTCATGTAATAAAATAACCTCCAGTATGTTTCAAAGGTTCCTGACAAATAACCTTTATCCAAAAGTATTGGTAAACCACTGTATCATTTAGTGTATTTAGTTCCTATATGGCAGAGCTGTGCCATCCAATATGGTAACCACTAGCCACATGTGCCTATTTGAAATGCAGCTAAGTTTGAATGGAGATGCACTGTAAAGTGTAAAATATATCCCAGATTTTCAAGTGTTAGCGCGCGCGTGTGCGCACGCGCACACACACACACATCTCATTAATAACTTTTGTATTAATGCTGAAATAGTATTTTCACGGCTGGGTGCGGTGGCTCACACCTGTAATCTCAGCACTTTGGGAGGCCGAGAGGCACGTGGCTCGCTTGAGCCTGGAAGTTCAAGACCAGCCTGGGCAACATGGTGACACCCTGCCTCTACTAAAAACAGTCACCCAGGCTGGAGTGCAGTGGTGCAATCTTGGCTCACTGGAACCTCCACCTCCTGGGTTCAAGCCATTCTCCTGCCTCAGCCTAGCTCATTTTTTGTATTTTTAGTTAGATGGGGTTTTGCTATGTTGACCAAGCTGTTCTCGAACTCCTAACCTCAGGTGATCCCCCCAGCTCAATCTCCCAAAGTGCTGGGATTAGAGCGTGAGCCACCGCATCTGGCCTTATACAGCTAGTGCTCAACTTACGACCACGATTGGTTCCGACAGACCGGTCGTAACACGATTTTGTCGTAAGTTGAGTAGGCTATGTGCACGCGGAGATGGTAGTGCTGCCAGAAGCTGGTCCGCACTGTTGTACGCCCAGCTGGGCAATGTTTGTGCTGCCACACACGGAGCAGTCGTGGCTAGTGATTGTGGTCGTAAAGTGGAATGGTCGTAAGTTGCATAGGTCGTAAGTCGATCAATACCTGTAAGCATTACTACTTGTCTTTAATTCACTGAGGAGATAAAATGATTAAGGAAATTAGCCAAGGCTATCCAGTTTGTATCATAAGTAGTGGAGTTAGAATCTAGACCCAGGCAATCTGGCTCCTGAATCTGTGCTTCTAACCAATTCATTATACTGACTTTCAAAAGCAGTATCATTAGAACAGAAGCTCCACAAGGGGGGAGATTTTGTTTTGTTTATTGCTGTGTCTTCTAACTCAGGAAGAGTGCAGGAGGGGGAAGAAAAAAACAAAGATAGTTGTGATTCCTAAGGAAGTAAACCAAAAGGTGTCTGTCTCTTTTTTTCCCAAAGCCTGGGAAAAAAAAGGAACTTACTCAGAAAAGCCTTTCCACTTCAGTAGATATTCCACTTGTCCCTTAACCACGCGTCTGTCTAGCACCTTCTCCACAACATACTCCTCCTCATCCTCTGAAGAAGAACTGTCAGCTGTCCGCTTGGTTTTCTTTCCCATGTCGCACACCGTTCCACCTGAAAGACTAAGGCCACCGGGCTCCTGCAAAGGCAAAGGACAAAATGGTTAGAATCCATGTGAGGAGTTAAAAACTTTCTGTCTCTTCCTGATGGGATGAAAAGGGGATAACACCAAGTTGCCATGTGCCCTGCTCTTGAGTCTCAAATCATTCTACAGATGAGTCCTAAGAATTTAATTTAGAAATCAATGAGTCTTCACTTCCTCAACGACTAAAGAGACCAAAATTATTAGAAGGCATAACTGTCTAACTCTTTTATTTCAGATTCCAAAAGACCAGTAGTGTGGTATGTTATTCCTGGCCAGGAACTTAAACAGAAATGTGGACAATCTTCACTTAAATGAAGCAAGATAGAACTAAACCTTCCCCTCCAAGATGAATAAGGGTCTTTATAAAAGTGAAAAAAACGAAAGCCACTAAAATATAAGTTTTCTGTGCTCTGAGCATCTTGCCCAGTCTCTTAGAAGCACAAAAAAAGGCTTGCTCAGACATCTTTCACCACATTTTCAGTGACTCGGTACATTTCCCTTAAACAAATTGAGCTTGTCCCTTCAGAGCATCCATCAGCTCATAAGAGCAAGGCTGACATCTCAAACACACTAAGCTTCCTTTTTAGCAAGCTAGTTTGGGGATGGGAGGGAGGCAGGGAGGAGAGAAAAATTTTTAGTCCTAAAATTCAAAATTACTCACTAGATTGTTCAGTAATTCCCAAGATGTAACTAACCCAAATAGTTAAGAAGGTACCTCTCCTCCTAACTGAAGTTGACTCAGGGCCAAAGAAGAGGAGGAGGAAAAAGAAGTCTGGCCCCAGACTCAGCATCAACATGGAGCCTCCTCAAAATACAGAGAAACCATTCATAGGCCCAAGGAAAGCTGAAGCAAGAAAACACAAATGGAAATTGAGTTAAGCTCAGAAATATGCACACCAGGGGGTACTCAACAGAGAATCTAGTTTTAAAAATTCTCATGTTGTTGTTCCATAATCATTTTTAAGAATTTTTCTTTAACCATGTTAAATGGTGCCTACAGTCCGGATTATAGAGTAGCAGAAACTGTTTCCTTAGCTGAACTCCATTATTTTGCTGTAATCTTTAAAGATGTTTTTCAGCACCCTCTAAATATTTCCACCCTGACCAGAAAACCACTTCTAGAGACGGCCCACTACTCATCTCAGAATTATGTTCAAGTCACATAAAAAGTGGCAATTATCAATTCACTTCAAATTATTAAAAAATTTTACAAGAATACATAGTTGGAAACCCTATTTCCAGAACTTATTAGCAATAGGTCTGCCCATCTAAAAACTGCCTATACCCATTACTGCCCTATCATTGAACTAAGTTTTTATTAAAATATTCTATTTGAAAGAGGAAGTAGTAAGAAAATGTAGGTGGGGGAGTAAAATAATTTTTCCATGAATTTGGAAGAATCCTAAGCTTCAAGAAAATATCTGATTTGGTTTATTTAAAATAAAACAGCCTCCGACCTCACCAGAGACAGGAAATGTCATATTCCAGGGAGAGTACCCCACCCCCACCCCCACTCACCTTGGAATTTCCGGGAGCTGAGCAGTTTAGGTCAGAGCGCTGGGGTTAAAACCAGCCCCATGTTAGATGCATGCAGTTAAGCATTGTGGCTATGGCCTCCCCTGCCTCACCAGGAAAAACAAGGATTTACATGTGTTCTTCATTTTGAGGGAGAGAAAAGGAAAATCTCCCTTTATACCTTCATGCAGAAGAGGAGCCCCAAAGGTAGAAGATGAATGGGGGTTCCCTCCTTTACCTACCGGATCGCCCCAGTTCTTTCTTCCCCTCTGGGCTAACAGGAGGGGCCTCCCCTCCCAGGTCTGGGTCTTGGCGGGCTGGCAGCTCCCCCGCCCCCACCCAGCTGCCTGGGCGCCACTGCGCAGCTGTCCCAGTCCGTTGCCATAGCAACTGGCAGCAGTACTACACTAAGGGGGAGAGGCAAATGGAAAAGTTAAAAAGGCTTAACTTTCCTTTTCAGTGAAGACTGGGTGGAGAAGTTGGAAGGTACCTCCCTTGGCCTCAAGGCTAAGGCATCCAGAACTCTAGGGAATTACTTCTTAGGTTTTAAACCCAGATTTTATGCTTACTTCTCTAAGAGCGCTGTAAATTAATCAATAGCATTTTAAAATCATCTAACAAGATTACAGCTCAACTGAAAGGGGGAGGGAGAAGGCTGGATCCTTCTACAACAGGATCAGTACAAACCACCCATCCCCTAATCCAGCCCACCAGAAGCACTTCGGGCAATACCATTTTACCATCTGTCACTGAACAGTTAATTAAAATTGCTTGAGGGGAAAAATAACAGGAAACGGGGGAGGGGAAGTATTTTAAAGACACTATAATAACTTTCCTTCTTTGGGAGGATTACTAGAGACACAATCCAAAGACTTGAAACACTAAAAATAAATAAATAAATAAACCCTTTTAATTAAAATTACAGGTGGAGGGCTGGGCACAGTGGCTCCTGCCTGTAAATCCCAGAACTTTGGGAGGCTGAGGCAGGCAGATCATTTGAGGCCAGGAGTCCGAAACCAGCCTGATAAATATGGTGAAATCCTGTCTCTACTAAAAATACAAAAAAATTAGCCAGGTGTGGTGGCAGGTGCAGACAGTCCCACCTACTCTGGAGGCAAACGCGGGAGAATCGTTTGAAACTGGGAGGCAGAAGTTGCAGTGAGCCGAGGTCGTGCCACTGCACTCCAGCCTGGATGACAGAATGAGACTGTCTCAAAAAAATAAAATAAATAACAGGTGAGAAAAAAATTCCTAAGAAGTTAAAAAAAAAGAGGAGAGCAGTTCTACCAACCTAATGGTTGTTAAAACCACTTCTAGGTTGTTCTATAATGTTATGAAACAGATTTGTTTATAACTATTCATCACCTGATACGTTATTAATGTACAACTCTGTACCAGTATGTCCCAATACTTGAGGAGTACTGGGATAAATAAAAAAGATATTTAGAGAATTGAAATTCCGTAAGTTTTCCATTCTTCTGGCTCTAAAGAACATTTTAGAGAGCTCCAAACTATACTCTGCTGTATATATATGGGAGCTTCAAAGTTGGAAGTGGCTGCCATAGGAGAGTAAGAAAAAGGGACAGTCAAAAGCAAAGAACTCACTTGAGAAGAAGCAGAGAATGGTGACTATTTTGGCTGTCAAACAAAAGAAACCATAGGGTGTAAGAGCAAAGTAGAAAATTTTTAATCACAAAAGATTTTCTCAAATTTGAAAGGCTCACCAGCAAACCTCCAATTAAAAACTGCGTTTTTCAATTCTTCTTACCTTTTTTTTAAGCATTTCATAATTAAGGGATATGAAAACAATGCCAAACATTTAAATAGGATTCTGACTCTGATTAACTTGCCATGTATTGATCTTTAGTAAATAAATTTCCCATCTAACCCCAACATCATTTAAACGAGTCAAATAAATCCCCACTACCCACCTCCTAGGGAAAAAGTGAGTTTATGTTGAAACCAAAGATTTATTAAATCCCCCAAAGAGAACCTTGTGTAAAAATATGTCAGGGCCGAATACAACAGCAGAAGAAAACATGTGACCTTCCAAATTCCTAAACTAGTAAACCCTATCACATGTAGTAACTCCTGCAGCTCAACACGTTAGTAGATAGCAAGAAAAAGAGAATACTGTGTTTGTCAACTAGGCACTAGACAACTAATAAACCTTCAGAGAACAGGGTAGGTATGTTCTCTCTCAAAGAGTAAAATACTTACTCCTTAAAACTCAGAAAAATGCCAGGTGCGGTGGCCCATGCCTGTAATCCAGCACTTTAGGAGGCCAAGGCAGGCAGATCACGAGGTCAAGAGATCCAGACCATCTTGGCCAACATGGTGAAACCCTGTCTCTACTAAAAATACAATAATTAGCTGGACGTGGTGGCCCATACCTGTAGTCCCAGCTACTCAGGAGGCTGAGGCAGGAGAATCGCTTGAACCTGGGAGGCGGGGGTTGCAGTGAGCCAAGATTATGCCACTGTACTGCAGCTTGGGTGACAGCGAGACTGTCTCAAAAAAAAAAAAAACAAAACTCTGAAAATGGCAGAATGAAAAGACTAATAGTAACTCTGTAAAGGAATAAGGAACAGGAAAGAATGACAGCAATACTAACATTTTGGTGAAACCTTTCAGAGACAGAAAAGTGAATTTAATGAAGAAAGAGACAAAAATATTCTGGTATCCACCCCTCCCCACAAAACATCAGGAAATAAAGATTGAGATCAATTCCCTCCTTTCCACCTTTAAGAAGTACTTAAAAGGCACATGGGCTGAGGTCCCTTTCTTTTAGGGAAATGGGTTTTTTAACCGCTGACAAATCGAATTGGGCCTGATGCCAGGAGTCAGAGTCCAACCATAATATTCTTTAAAGAATGGCATGCAATTGTCTTGTAAATCTCCTGGACAGTCACAGATCAGAAGCTGGCAAGGATGACGACATAGTTCTGATGGAATGTGTCTTATCTTAACCTTGAAGTTACAGATCTGCTCAGGAGCAGCAGTAAGAAATGAGAAATGCACTCAGACATCGGAGGGGACATAATTCTCTTTTAGACAGTGCGACCCAGAGTATTAGGGTCAAATGAAACACAAAGCCACTTGAACAATTTAAGAGCTAGAGCCTGGACCAGATAAAGCATCAAGACTGGTGGTTCACGGTGAGATTAGGAAGAGGGAGCGCCTTCCAGCATGAGAAATGAGACATGGCAGGCAGGTTGATGGAGTGATTAAGGCAGAATCCCAATACCATGACAGAGGAAAAGAGGATGAGCCTCTGAACACAACCTTATCCTTGTGAAAATCTCCAAGGGAAAGGGTGAGCAGCTTCTCAAATTTCCAGAGTCTTTCAGGCATAAAAGCTCTCAGCACTCTCTCTTAAATTTAGAGGAACTCTCTGGTAAAGCTACCAATAACTATAGATAGATTAAAGTAACTAAGGTGCACAAAGAGATGAGAAAAGAGCAGATTCTAACAACCCT